ATACACTGATCAACAGACACGAGAGTGTTTACCGATACACTGGTCAACAGACACGAGAGTGTTTACCGATACACTGGTCAACAGACACGAGAGTGTTTACCGATACACTGGTCAACAGACACGAGAGTGTTTACTTTAATAAACTCCTAAGGTCTATTAATAAGTGACACTAAAGTGAAAATGTTAACTGATAATGAAAATCGAAAGGTTTGCTGATTAACAGACACTAAGTTGAAAGTTTTGATTAATACAGTAAACACCACAGTTGGATTAATAAAGATAATAACACTGAAACATAGTCTACTAATGAACTAATCTCAAACCATCTGCTGATAAACACTGAAGACAAACTATTGCTCAATGGTAAACTTAAGGGTTTATCATTTTAAAAATCAAATTACTATGAATGTGGTGGATGCAGTGCAGTTACCTCATTGTGCAGCTTTCTTCTTAATAACAAGTAGATGCATAATGTGAGAAAAGTGTTAAATGTTGTATTAATTAACATCTACTATTCTTGCACCTTGTCAGGAAAACATTAAAGTTTGAATTAACTTTGGAGGACATAAAGTTATTGTATTATTCTTAGAGGATACATCTTGAAGGAAGTGCTTCGAGCTAGGTGGTTAACTTTGTGTACTTATCACGGGATGGTTGTACTTGCTGCTAGGCAAGTGGTTATCAGAGTTTATTACTGAATAACTAGAACATAATACGTAGGTTTGCTTTATTACATGTTGAAAACTTTGCTGTTTAAGTATTTAGTCATTCCACAGTTGTATTTTTGTGGTTGAAGGCTAATGTATAGGTGGTAATTTTGTTTTTTGGATAACTATAAATAAAGTAATGCCTTTTGATCATACTTTTAGATGCAGTTAAACCTCGAGGGTGAAGGATCACTTAATTGTTTCCTTTTCTGTAAGCTGGATTTTTTTGCTTCTTTTTTTTCAGCCAATATATAACCAGCCATCAGACCCTGTTGTTTTCCATGAAAACAAGAAACAGTAAGTATATATTTAACAGATACCTTTTAACCAGTATGTTTTAAGGAAAATCCACATAAAAATGCTCAACATTACCAAGATGTATGGAATTTGGAATCATGTTAGATAGCTATAAAAAGACGTACTATAAAACTCGAAAGTAAAACAGACCAAATGTTAAATGTTTCACAGCGAACAAAAAAATCAAGTATAAAAAATATAGCATGGAGAGAACAAACTTCATGTAAAAAATTAGATTAGCTTATGATGATGAATTTTGACAATGTTTAAGTGAAGGTTCTCATAATCTAAGCAGAATATTTTAGTAAGGATAATGAAGGTAGTTACATATAGACAAAGTAGTTCAGTAAGGGAAGATGAAGATAGGTTGACATAGGCAATGTGGTGCAGTAAGGGAAGATGAAGATAGGTTCATGTAGGCAAAGCAGTGCAGTAGGAGCAGGTGAAAGTAGTTTTATTTTGTTTCATTAATGATTACATAAATTCAGTAATAGAACTGAAATGGTAAGCTAGTTTAAAATTTTACGTATGTAGTTTTCTATTTTTACAGTATATGAGGTATATGTATTGTACATTTTATTTAAAAATAGGTTAACATGCTCTAGTAATACATGTTTACACCAGAAAAAAAAATGTTTATTGTTTTATCTGGTGATTATTTCTCTAACGTAAATTTTTTTGTATAATGTGCACTCTATTTCTGCAGTAGTTGAGAATATTACTTCATAATTAAGCTTTTGCTTTTTTTCCTACAGTTTTTTAAGTTTTAAGAAGAGGCTAATTGTTCACTTAACACAGAAGCAACAAGAACGGAAGCAGTGGGTAGGTGATTTTTTAAAAGATTAAATGCAATTACAAATGGTGTTTTATCATAGGTTATTAGTATTTAGCAACTTACACTTGACATAAATATCTCTGATTTACTTTAAAATTGTTTTCCTTGAAGAGAGAAAAGAAGGTAAAAATATTGCTAACAATTTTCTTTGATAGGATTTACTTTCACTATCATAATGTTTCATTAATTCCTAGTTTCTTTAGAGGTTTTGTTTAGTATTGTAGTTTGTAAAGGTTGCAAACATGTTATGCTCAGAACACTAAAATACTTTATCATCTTAAAAAACAAATACCTTTGCTTATGGCTACTTTCTGACAATCTTTTAAAACCAACATGAATTCAGTTATCTTGTAAAAGTAAATTTTGGAACTGTTAGGATGGTAAAATAACAGTGGAGGGGGGAAAAATTCAAATGTAGGAGGTATTCACAGAAAAGAACAGGGTAAGGGTTTGAATTACAACATGAATAAAAGAAGTTAGTGATTGCTAATTTAATAGGATAAGTAGAATTATATAAAGAATATCAAATAAAGGATAACTATATTTAAATTAAAATCAATTCACAATTCTTTTAATAATATGAACAACTTGTTCAATTGACTTCTGGGCTGAGTGCATCCCAGTAGTTAGCATACTGGATTGTAGATTTGTGTTCCATTGCTGGCAAAAAAAAAAGGAAAAAAATCACAGTTCACATTTTGGAGCCATCGATGTGTTTTAAGAGTGGTGGCCAACCCCCACTATTCAATTAGAGTAACCCAAGAGTTGACAGTTGGTTGTGTTGACTAATGCCCTTTCTCTACTCTATAACTTTAAAACTAGAGATGGCTAACACGAATAGCTTTGTGCGAAAATTCAACAACATCAATCAATGACTTTGCTTCTGTCTTGTCTTACCTGCTAGATAGTAAACTTGTATAAAATGAACAAAAACAGCAAAAGAAACAAAAATAATTACTTTTAAAAAAGCTAGTCTTTTGTTGTTTGGTGCAAACCCTCTGACTAAAGGTCTTTTAATCTTAACAAGATAAACAGCTGTCTAAGCAGTGTGTCTGATTTGTCATTTATTTTCTTTTTGTTATTGTTGTTTTACTTGGAATATATTGACTTCCTCAGCTATAATGACTGTTCTTGTTTATTAAAGAATCAATAATCATGCTCGTTTTGGTCTTTTAGGAGACTTATCTCACTAAAACCTACAGCTGGCTAATGCAAGCCTGGCAGAAAAGGATGGAAAAAAAAGATAATAATACCAATAAACGGTGAGTATATATCAAGAGTTATCTGAGCTCTTGATATGTGATGTAGTTTACCCTTTTTTTTATATATCTTGTTTATTCGGGTGGTATATAACTCTATAAAAGTTTGCCCACTTATAGGAACAAGTTGTTGAAAAAAAGTATTGTTACTCTGAGGTACCAAGATTTGTAGGAGCTGTTTGACATATGATGTGGATTACTTTTATATATCATGCTTATTCAGAAGGTCTTTAATTCTGTGAAAATTTAGTCACTTAAATAAAGTATAAGATTCATGACATTATTATTCATAAACAAGTATTAAATGCTGCAATATGTTGGGGAGGGACATTGGAAAAGTTGTTCAATCACATCATTGAAAAATTAGTTGTAATATTTTCAAAACGAGACTCAAAACTCGAGTGCTTTCAAATAGTTGACTATTCTTCTTCTTTATTCTCCTGAAGAAGAATAGTCAACTATTCGAAAGTGCTCGAGTTCTGGGTCTCGTTTTGAAAAGATTACAACTTTTGTAGGTAATCCTGTGTGCTAACTACTTAACCTGGATTGAAAAATTAGGATGCCATAAGTTAAAAACTAATTGACAGAAAAATTTTTGATTGTTATTACAACTTAATTTGAACATACATTTAAGCTTTCCATATTCAAGAAAGAAAAGGTAGATAAACAATACATCAAATATTGCAAATGGCCATAACTATTATATTTTATTATATTTTAAGCAGTGTTATGCATGTTAACCCTCTCTGCCCAGGCATCATTTACTGTACATGTCACGAGGTTTTAGTGACTTACATTCATAATTTTATTAAGCTACTTTTTGTTTATGTTATACCAATTAGTATAGCATAAAATCATAACTAATAATCCATATTTAATACGGGTTCGGTCAGTTTGACCAACCATGTGACCTTTTTGTACTAGTTCATAGTCTTTCTAGATTTGATACTACTAACTTTTAATATAGTGTGTATATCTTCATGAAATTTAGCAGTCTTTCAGCAAACATTGTCTTTCACATACAAAAAATCATATTTTTTTTTTAATGAAATATTTTAATAAACTAAAAAAAAGATTTGTCCTCGATTATATCGAGTATTTTTTTAATAATCCGTGTGCAAAGTAATTTTCATGTTAAGATTAAAAATACTTTATCTCAAAAATCTCAAATTCCATTTGCATAATCTCTGAAATCTCCTAGATACATTTCAAATGCTTGTTTTCAGTAAAACTTTATATTTTATCTATTTTCTCTACCCTAACTCTATACAAGGTTGGTCAATTTGACCAACCTCGTAACTACCAAAAGAGAAAAAAATCTAAATTATCCTTTTTTTCTTTCTAAAGTGACTTCAAATGTAACATGAAACTACATTAATTTATCCTAATTAATTACCTTACCCACCTTACTCTAGGCTGCTTGCATGTATGCCTCGTGAAATATTATATTATTATTCTTTATTTTACCTAATCTAACCTTAAATAACCAAAAGAGATCCCGATTTATACATTTTAGTTACTCTTATAATAATAAATAAAGAATAAAAACGAAAAACAAGAAGTATAGTACTTATCCGAGTATTCTTTTTTTTTTTTTTTTTTGTTTTTTCTTGTTGTTACTTATAGTTAGTAGTACGTACCTAACCCTTTAACCTTTTTAACTTTTAACTTTAAACTTAAGGTTAG